GCTTAGATGACTGCCTCTTCTTTGCTTGAAAACAAGAACATGGTAATTATTTTGGAGAATAATAGGTTACATTCTGTTCATTACTTTTCTATCTATTTCTTTGTTGGTGACTTAATGGAATATTGTCTTGATACCCAGTCTGACCATTGCAATTTGACTATTGTTTTTTATTACAAGTAGGATAAATAGAACTAGAGATTTATGTAAAAATAAAAAGGTTGAGTAGAGTGGGGAGATTGTTACATAATGTGAGAAACCACTAACAAAACTGTTGGGTTATTACAGTTTAAGACATGTTTTAGCCATATGAATAGAAAGTTTAAAGATATCTAATATAAGTTTGGCATTATGAATTCTCTTTATACTCTTCTCACTTGCTTTGCTATAATGTTAGCAAATGAATAACTTGATCAGTGATAGCTGATGTTCAAAGCTCCCATTTAGGACTCATCTTAACTCAATTATTGTAGTTTTTCTGCTTTCACTTCTCAAGTAGCAACTGCCAGAGGAAATGTAAAAATGAAAAAAAAAAAGAGGATGTAGCCCGAAACAAACATATGTGGAGCATCTAATTTTTACAAACATGGAAAGAACCTTCAACTGGCAATTGGTTAATGAAAAGTCAAAATCTTTGGTGAACACATGTCTTGAGCATTTTGAAAATCATCAAGAGACTGGAGAAGGAATACCATTTTTTAAAAATATTATTGGTAGCATTGGGGGGAAGAATAATAAGATACTCTGTATTTACATCTTGTTAGAGTCACACCCTGATCTGACATGAATCAAATATTTTCTTACATGTTTTCCTGATCACATTGTCCTGTTCTACAGGATTGTTTCTAAACACATTTGCAATTTAAAATAGCAAGGACAGCAAAGAGTCTTTTGGTTATATGTGCCTCCGCAGGGCTTTTTATTTTCAGTATGTCAATGATTCAGACAAAAGACACCTTTTTAAGACTAAATTTACACTGAAAAAAAAAAAGGTCCTTAAATATATAAACATTTAGTCTTGCTCCATCATGGCAATGCTATAGTTTACTTTAGCTAAATTATTTTCTGAATATTTGTTTGCATAGAGGACATCTGGATTATAAAGATGTTTCAGAAAGCCCTTATTTTGTAGCACTGTTGTATATGGATATTTCCTTTTTTTCAGTTTCCCGGTATTCTTTGTCTTCCCAAAGGATCAAGACGGAGTCCCCTAGGAAACAAGGGCTTCAAATATCCTGTTGAAGAATGGGGCTCTGCACAAGCTCATTTACAGAATCTATCATATAGAAAATGCAGGAACCACAACTGCAAATCATATCCAGAAGAACTTAGTTTAGTTAATAAAAATGAGCAATGCAAACTAGGTAGGTTTAAATATATATTGAACAAAGCCAAAACTAGACAAAATTACTGAAACAATTTCAAGAGGTGCCTACCAGAGATGTAGAAGTATTAGTAAGTAGAATTCTTGTAAACCTTTCTCTGTGTTGCTACTACTACTATTAATACTACCACTACTATTATCAGTCACCATGCAAGATAGTGCTTAATCTGTCTAATATACACAAAGATAAGTCCGGTACCTGGAAAGCTTATACTTTGAAGTATAACTACTCTTTTGAAGAACATAGAGAAATATCTAGGGGTTAAGTTGTTGCTTGTGTTCATAATGGCAGAAAGCAGCATACTAGAGGGGAGCTATCAGCAAGAGCGTGAGAGAAGAATGGTATATGTCAGGGCAGCGTGGAAAGTGAAGATAGGCTCTCAAAATCACCATTGTCCAGGAAGCTCTGTGTACATGTTTACAATGGACTGAGGTCTATTGTATCGACAAGGGCAATATTACAAAGAACCATAACAAAGAGTTTTAGAGTGTGACCTCTTAAAGGAGGAAACTATCTCAGTATTTATATGAGGGAAGACTGTTAATGTTCTGTGTAGGCTGGCAGAGTGCCAGAAATATGGAGGAGGAGGAGTTCCAAATACCATTCATGGACTGGGGTTGAGTTTGACTAGGAAGAGAAGGGGTAATATAGTTTGGACATCGATTTTATGAAAGATCCAGAGGAAGGGAAAATGAAGATCTTATCAGGGACAGGGAACTGAGGAAGAAGAATGCAGAATAAGCTCCAGGTTAAACTGATAGTGTCAGACATTAGCAAGGATCCTTGGGAAACTAAAAGAGAGAAGCTGAAGGTCAAAACAGGGAACAGGATGCAGAAGTGGACTGTGACTCAGCAGCACACAATGACCACAGCAATACATGAGAAAGGATGAAACAGCCAGTGGAAATCAGTACTCTGACGTAAGGACCATTTTCAATAGAATGGGGTCAATGGACTAGAACATGCTAAAGGGCTAAAGCATAGGTTTTGCAAAGTCTCATTATAGCATTTTGGCAGAGTCCAATCCAAACAAATACTGAACTTTCTTTGATTTTGTAATTGCTGGTCTTACCATTAATTAAGTCTTTTTATATTCAAAAGGGATAAGATGCATATATATCCCTTTTGTGTCCTCACACATAAGCCTAAATCCACAGGTGTGAATCATCAATACATTTGTCCCTAAATAATAAAGGTTTGATTTTTTTTTTTAATGAAAACATCTCTTATGATTTCTACCATGCCTCTTCACTTTATTTTATATATCTTATTATCTCTGTGTAACGTTTGATAGTATTATTTCTTCCATGTAGTGCAAATGCACTTAATCCTCAGAAGAATTTTAGATTAGCCAGGTAATTTGTTTTCTTCATGAAGAAGCAAAATGATGTTTGCATAAAAGTCCATGGACAGAGTGAGTGCTGTATTTCTAAACACGGAAAGTGGAATTTCATATGGAATTCAGCAAATAGTTTCACCTCAGTTCTTTTAGGCATATAGTGATTCTTGTGTTGCATAAATGATGGAATTATTGACTTCCCTGCTATGCCTTAGCTAGTGTGCTGTGGTTTGTCTGGCTTGATTCATGCTAGGAATCTCCAAATATAATCACAGTGTCCAAGTTTCAAGCAAAACAGGTAATTTTTTTTTTAATTTTTAATTTAATTTTATTTTTTTTTCAGTTAGAGCACTTTGCCTGGCTATTATGGAACAAAAAAAAGAAAGGAAAAACAAAAAAAGACACAGCATCTGTGTACACTGCTGGGTTAGGAATACTATGAGAGGCTTCTGCTGTCTGGGACAAGAATTCTCAAATCAAATCAATATATTCCCTTAGTGATGCATGGAAATTTGTTAAATGAAACATGATGAATGTTAAAATAGCTTTAAAATACATGTTAATGAAATTCTTTGTCTCACTGTGAGGTTTCTAGAATAGTAAACTATAGCTAGGAGTTTTCTTTGCTTTACTGAAGTCCTGCAGTAAAACCTTGTGTCAGAAGCAAGTACTTGAAGATGCATTTTCTACTTATTCTCACTCTTGAAAACCTAAAAAGAATCCAATTTCTATGGATGGTAACTAGGAGAAGTAAAAAAAATGAAGAACTATGGAAACTGAAGAGGTGTTTCTCACTCCTACATTTGCATTCTTCCCCTTTCAAATTGTTTTGATATATTTCTATCACATCATTCCTTCCTCATCTCTCTTACAAGCTGAAGTATCTTATTTAAAATGTCCTCCTGTGAAAGGCTTGCTATATGGTAATCATTCTGTTGCCCTACACTCTTCTTTTACAGGTCCCACCATATCTTTCTTGGGATGACAAGCACTGAGTGCAGTGATCAAAATGTGGGCACACCATGTATTAACACAGTGGCATTATGATGTTTCCTGTTTTGCTAGCTACATCTTTTCAATTAATTCCCTTTCTGAATACTAGTTTATCCATTTGACAGCTGCTGGCCGCTGCGCTTTTTCAGAGAACTGCCCTTATAAAGCGTTCATAAAATGTATGATTTCATTGAGGAACTTTTACTGCCTTTTTTACGCTTCTCTCTAAACCTATGCTATTGGCCTCGGTCAGGCAGAGTATGAGGCTAGATGGACCTGACTCAGAATGTCCATTCTTATGTTATGTTCCCACATAGCAGCAGTATTTAATATATAGACCATCAATATGTTACTTTTGTTTTTCCCGTGCTTATGATTGTGCATTTATCAGTCTTGCAGTTCAGCTGGCAATCCACTTGCTGAAGACTGGAGACCTTTTGAAAGTCTACTGTCATAGATCCCTGGGAGACTGCCTTAATAAGATTCATCTGATGCGTAGCTGGCCTTTTATTCTTGGTCATTTACCCTATCATTACTACTGCAGTGTAGTTTCTTTAAGAGTCACAGAATCACAGAATCACAGAATTTCTAGGTTGGAAGAGACCTCAAGATCATCGAGTCCAACCTCTAACCTAACACTAACAGTCCCCACTAAACCATATCCCTAAGCTCTACATCTAAACGTCTTTTGAAGACTTCCAGGGATGGTGACTCCACCACCTCCCTGGGCAGCCTGTTCCAGTGCCTCACAACCCTTTCAGTCCCTGCAAATGAATGTCTTCAGACCCTTTTGTATCATCCTGCTCCACCTTCTTTTTGCTCTTTCACAGAATTTTAATCTATTTGCGAGACATAACTCCTAAAAAAGTGTAAAAGTCGAACTGATACCTACCTGGACACACCAGGGAAGTGGGCCCACACGAACTGCATGATGTTCAAAAAGTCCAAGTGCAAGGTGTTTCACTTGGGTTGGGGCAATCCCAGACAGGAGTACTGACTGGGACAAGAACTCATTGAGAGCAGCTCTGCAAAGGACTTATCCAGGACTGTGCCAAGATTATTGTCTTTTTGTAGTAAGTAGTGGCCAGAATGTCAGTCAATGCCAGTGTCTGGTAGGGTGGCTGGTGCCAACAGGCTGTTTCGGAAAGCAAAGGACTTCTAGGCTTGTTCATTGTCTAAACAGCAGCTGCACAAGGAGTGACTGTGTTGTGGTGTGTGGTTGGCCTGGACATGTGACAAGATGATGGCTGTCCTAACAGCTGCAATTGACTTATTTCCTCCCTCAGCTGTGGTCTGATATTCTTCAGTAGCTCCCATGCCAGCCCTGCATGTGATGTAGCACATCAACATGATGCATATGATGAATAGTGAAGAAGATACATCTAAAAGCTGCAATGTAGTTCAAGAACCATAAGCCATTCATCCTCATTTTAGAGGTAAGGCTTTTTGTCCTTGGGGTCTGCAAACTCCGTTTTTCGGGCTATGGCCATCGATGAAATGTAGTTCTTTATTCCTCTTGGCCATCAACAGTTTTTAACCCTTTGAAATGTGGAGGATATTGTGACTCTTTTACTCATAGGTCTGTTCTTGGATTGTCCTCTGGCTTAGATTATTCCCTTATAGATAAAAAGTATGACTTTTTATAAGACTGTGAGTTTCCTATATCAGGGAATATCTTCTCTGAGTAATTAGACATCACTTAACAAGCATCATCTCAAGTACACTAATAGTATAACACCTTCTACTCCATCCCTTTGACCTTACCTGAATCATGTATATTTATTCTTTCCACTGATAAAAGCATTAACCTCTTATCTTGCATTAAGTTCACATATTAATTCCCTATTTGAGAAAAGAGAGAGGGAGGAAAGAGGGAGGGATGGAGGAAGAGAAGGGCTTTTAGCATTCCGTAGCTGAGCTGCCTGATGTAATGTGTTAGAGGATATAGGTGCCAGTAATGTGCAAAGAGCTTGAAAAATGACCAGACAGTGCCAAGTCCACAGTGCATGTTGTCAGGCGGGCTAACAGTATAATAAATCAACCTTTCTAGTGTCAAGGGTCAGGTAGTTTGATGTTCAAAGCTGTTTGGCCAGCCTGATCTAGCTAGACATATGCAATTCATTTCTGAGCTGTTAGCACTATTACAATACTAGGATCACTATAAAGCAATGCAAGCCCTGTGGTTCTTTGGTCTTTCAGTCAATATCCCAAAGGGGAAAATTATCTGGGAGAAGAAAGTGGAATGCTGCTTAGTTTCAGGTCTTACACTTTCCCCATAATTATTTTTATTATTTTTTTTTTCTAAGCAGCACTGAGAAGAACATGGAAAACCATGTCAGATGGATTTTTCCTATGCTTTCCATATAGGACGTTGATGCTTAACCTTTCACAGTTGAGCAAGCCATATGGACATATAGTGGCAGGAGGGGACAACAGGCTCTGCCCCCCTTCTGTTCATGTAAGTACTTGAAAAAAATCTCAAACTTTGAGTAAGTGGAGGATACCAAGCAGAGTATGATTAAGTGATCCACTCCAGTCTGATGCACCTTCTGTGATGTTTAGAGGGGCTGGAAGGAGGAGACCCTGCTGCTGGCCCTGACAAGCTAGAAGGAGGGTCTTCCCATATGTGTCTTCTCTTATCCTGTGTTTGAAGGGCTGGATGAGTACAAGGATCCTGCAGAAGGCATTGCAGACCAGTCTGAAACTTCTTGTGTTCAGGAGTTTTAATTAGCTTCACTGGTTGGGAATATGCAGGGCAAAAGGTTAAGGCAGCAAATCAGGCTAATTACAGGCTGGAGGTCCCAGGAGTTTAGATCAAGTGATCTTCCCTGGTCCTAATCTCTGAGATGGAAGCAGTTAATACTACTCTCTCTGTGAGTGCCGCAGGGCTGCTGGCTTTCCAGCCACTCACGATGTATTCACCCAGGCTCTTCTGCCTGCGGGGCAGATTACTGCCACAGACCTGGGTGAGCTGAGTCACAAATTGCAATTCCCACTCAGTGCCTTTAGGCTGTGAGAGTCGTAGCTCTGAGGTTTCCTCCAGAGCACCACAGATCTGCAGTCTACTAAATCATGGGCTATATAGGCTCCTTTAGTGTACCCCAATTTCTCTCTAAGCAAATTCCTTTGTAATAGCTTCTTCCCATAGCTGTGAAAGTACTCCTGTACATTTCCCCCCTCTCTGGCTGCTGTTTGTAGCAGGCTATATCATCAGCATACTGATATTTCTTGTATTATGTAAATTAGTGCCCAAAATATTAGAATTAACGTGTCATGGGTGAAGGTGCAGGCAGCTGCAGCACCAAAACATCCAACTGTCATAAACCATCCCTAAAATCTATAAAACAATTAGGTATAAACAGTGTCTAGAGGGAAGATTCAATGTGAGAGGCTTGACTTGTAGTTTTCTGGGAATTTGATTAGTTTGTTTCCAGAATTTTTCTCAGAGATTCGTAAACTCCTATGTGGGAGAGGTTATTTTGTTTAGAGGTACACCTGTGGGTATAATGTAAGTTATAACTGTATGTGTTTTGTTTTATCATTTTATAAGTCCTATGTGGACATATTTCCACTGGGGCATTTCAGTGATTAGTTTTTTTATCCAGAAAATGACTCCTCTCACCAAGCCCCCACAGATACACTAGTTTTGTTTTCTCAGGTTGGAGTAAGTCACAGCAATTCAGTTTTTCTTGACATACACAAATCTTATGAAGGACTTTTACAAATGAAGATCAACATTTGTTTAAGTACTAGACTGGGAGTAGCACTGGAGTCTCCTACTTGGGCAATGTGCTACAAAGTCAGCTTTTACCAGCTCCTTTCCCCATCCGCAAAGAGCATGATAATGCTTGAAGCATTTTTAAATGGCTTTGAGAAATGTACAAGTCATTTGAATAAGCAAGTCATTATCAGCAGAGTGCCTAACCAGTGGATCACAGTGCAAGACAAAAGACAAAAAAAAACAGACAAAAACCAGATTTGATCATTTCATGGCCATATGTACTAAGATATACAATATTTTCTTTTTTTTTTTTTTTCTTCCAAATTATTATGCCAAAGATACTATCACTGTTAACTGCTTCTGAAAATCCCACCTACATATTTCAGTAGGAAAGTTTTTAAAGATGACGTATTGGAACAAGGAATTAGAACAAGGAACTTTGTCTGCAGTAGTCTTAGGCAATGCAATAATAAAAATAGAACAATAGATTGTAAAAACAGAGCAAAGCAACAAACAGTGAAGGCAGAGGGCAGAAAGGACCACTTGGTATAAAAATGAAACATATTCTTTGGCCATCGCAGTTACAGTGATAGCAGAGTTGGACTATGTGTTATCAAGGCAAACCTGACCAGTAAGCAAGTGTCCCCTGTGACTGAAGGGGAAAACCACGAATTAGAAGGGTGGGAAGCAAATGCAAGGGAAGAAAATATTCAAAGTGTGAGATACTGTTTCTGCCAGGGAGTTAACCGAGGAGACAACTTTTACACTTTTAAGGTTTTTGCCCTTTCTATGGTAGTGCTTTTATGGTTTGAAATGTGAGATTGTCACTACATGATATGTTGTCTTTGGCAGCAAAGCTGGCTAGAAAGTTCCCAAGATCCACAACCAATTTACTGCCACCTCAAATGTGTTAGTAAATGCTCATGGATCTGCTGCCCACAGGGTCATTCCGATGGTCTGAAGTCAAAATAACAATCTACACAGTTAAAAAATAAAAAAATAAAAAGGTTTTCTCACCTGAACCAATTTGGAAGATGAGATAATGTTGTAGGCTACAAGACATGAGCCTTGCTGCTGAAACACAATGTAGTATCTAGCAACAACATGAGACTTTTACGACCTTCCACTTTGATAATTCCACTCATTCAGTTGTGTCTTGAGTTTCTGGGATTACATATACAATGCATTCTGATATTAAGGGAATTATTCCTACAGTGTTGGAAGAACACTTGTTTGTATACAGGGAAATATATTGACCATAAGCAATTTATACTTGATGGGTAGGGAATTGCCTGCAATAAAAAAGGTTTCTTCAAGATTCACCTCATGTCAGGTTGATGTTAGTTTCACAGAATCAGAATGATATGCTGTTTGTTTTCCGTATGCAAGCAACAAAAAAAATACCTAGTGGATGTTTTCTATTTCACTAACTTTATTATTTATTTTTTTATTTTTACAATACAAAGTGCATGTCCAACCTGGTACAGAATGACTATTTAAATGCTGTGAGATAAAAGAGAATTTAGTTTCCAAAATGTTCCGGACTGTTATTATAGCTAATCTAATATTCCAGTATTTTGAATAAACCTAATACAGCTGTCACCCCATACAATTTGTGTTTGTTTAAGCCATGCTTATTCAAAGTATCATAAAATAAAATACAAATTATTTTTAATTAAGAGTTGCACATTACCATTGGCACTTGTTTCATTCCATAATGTAGTAAGTGTAGGTAGTGTTTTCTGAACCTATAAGAAGGCAGTGATTGACATTAAGCAACCTAAAATGAAGTATGGGCTCTACAGCACCTTGTATACAGTCAGGCAGAAAGACACAAGGATTTTCAGGACTGTGCAACATCTGAGATAAAGTAAAAAATAAAGCCACAACAAGAATTTCTAAAAATGCATTTGAGGTATTTATGTGCAATATTTTAATGGTCTTATGGATTTTTTTTTTATATATAATTTTGTTTAAATATTTTAGTGCAATTTGTTTTAGTTTGTTTTTCATGTTCCTAATCCTTTGAAGATCAGGTACTGAGCAATGGGGATAATTAGAGATTAGTGGCAGACTGCTAGAGTTAATGCACAGAGTTATAATGAGACATCTGCAATATTTTTCCAGGATGTAACAACCAGTTGACCCTGAAGACTGTGGGTAACACAGAGCAGAACTGTGCATTTGGTGGCCATCAGCAGCTTTGTGGGGGTGGCATGTTACCTAGCTTATGTAAAGTTACAATATTTTTCCAATCCTCTGCATATTTGTTTTACCAAATTATTCAGACAGCTGTTTGCCCAAGCAGCCTGTTGCTGTGCATTGTGTGACACACTCCAAATGGCAATTATTTATGTGACTTAAACTGAAGTACAGGTATTTTTGTTAGTGAGAAAAGTTAGAATTTGGTGCAGTGAAACAAAAAAAACCAAACCACAGTATGCTTTCTACCCAGCTTGGGAAAGTGAAGGAATGGTGATTATGGGGTTTTCCTGCCCTTCTCCCAACATGCCCTTGTTTTCCACAGGAAAGTGACCCACCACATTGGAATAAAGGACATTTGTATCCTCATGTGCCTCAACAGTATGAGCTGGTCCGGGGAAGCAGTCAGCTCTGCCCTTCAAACTGCGATTGCATGCCACCCTTGTGTGCTGCACAGGTTTTTTGTTCACTGGGTGATCTTGAACTGGCCTTGCTAAAAGCTTCCTGTGACATTTCCAAAGGAGATAAATCTACCTAAAACCCTGGGAAGCAGGTGAAACAGCTCCTCTGTTTGAAGGTGAGTGCTTGACCTGAAGATCTCAGAGGTCTCTTGAAACAGATGGCGCTGAGTTTCCTGAGATGGAGTGGCAGTTCTTGAAACATTGCAGTGCTGTGAATCCTGGCATCCTATGGTGCTCAGCCCCAGCACACAGATTCACTAGGTCCATATTTTGGTCCACAGGGATGGAGGTTTGCTTTGCAGGGTGATAACAGGCTCACCAAATCAGGCTCTATGAAAGAGCAGCAGAAGCAGAAATGTGTGTGGAACCCCACTTGTCCACAGCTCAGGCAAATGATTCACAGCTAGACCCCTATTCTAGAGGCAAGAGCCTATTACTTTACTTTGACAGAATTCGGCCTGGCATACTTTCACATTTCGGAAACAGAGAAACGTGTAAGAAAAAATGCTAAATGATGATGATGGCAAATATTAAAGTTTATTAGAGATGTAGAGAGACTAAACATTGTTGTATGCTAATTTGTTGACTTGGAATATTTTATAGGAAAGATATTGATTTTTTTTTTTATTTTTTAAAAGAATTTAAAAAATGGAAAAGTCTTATTTAAAAGAAAAAAATATTTTGAACCCTTGATTAGCAGTTGTCCTCTGGAATATCAAAAACATTTTTAAAATGTATAAATACTAGTACACACTGACTGTGTAATTTTCCTCTAGACCTTAATTTCTGGAAAATATTATAGGTTGAATCTTAATCTTTTCTCTGAGTAGGAATTATTTTCTTTTTGCAGGGATGGAAAGTGATTTTTTCCTGAATCTCTCATCAGAAAGCATGCGCTCCTGTTGATTGCCATTTCCTAGGCAGTGAATGAGCAGCGATGAACTGCCAGTTGCCATGTCAGAGCCCCTCGCCACACCAGCCACCAATTTCTGAGCCCTGATAACCTTTATGGGATGTTCTGTGGAGGAGGATCGCACTGCTGATGTGATGATTCAGGTACAGCTTTTCTGAGCATCCTTTATGGAGGACAGTAATTCTCTTTCATGGCTGCTTTTGTGGTGTTGACATTGTTTTCAGTTGGCATGGGAACAAAACCAGAACCTTTTAAGTGATTTCCTAAAATTACTGGTTTGCAATGAAAAATCATGGGTTTTCAAACTGGGCTGCATGCTTTCTCTGTCTCTCCCATAAGAAGTGACCAATAGTCTTGTGTCTTGAGTACCTCCCTGATTAAAACTTCACCTAAATGGATGTTTTCCACAAAATGCTTTGGCTCTGACAGAGCAGCATATTTTCATGAGATTTCATTTCATGGAAATGATCTGACCAGCTCTAGATGTATACTTTAGATATGCATAGATAGTTTCGATTGCCTAGAGAGAACCACCTAGTAGGCAGAGAGGATTTGCCAAAAGCAATTATATTTTATCTCAGTTCAGTTTCAAACCATTCGTGAGGATCCAAGATCACGCTTTGGTAAAACAAACAGTTGTGGTCCAAACAGTGGCAAGAAGCTAAACTGTAAAAGACAAATACATCTATAAGTTGTTTGTGTTGCAGTGAAAATTAATATTATGCTGCTAGAGAATTCTGTCCACATCTGTAACAAATAAAAAAGAGAGAGAATTATAGGATATTATATTCTGAGGAGCAATGTGACCAGTGAGGCAGAACTTGATCCACAATTGCCAAGTTACAACCTGATAATACGCTATCAATTCTGCACGATAGCGATCCAGGACAGTGCTTCATAACCTGAGCAATTACTTCAAACGATTCAGCAGAGCTCTAAGATCTACTGTATCGAAAGCAGCAGAAAGATCTATCAGCAGGAGTACTGTAATTTAACTTGAATCAGCAGCTGGCGATAAATCATTTGTGACCTTAAGTAAAGCAATCCCAGGACTGTGGTACTCCCTGAAGCCAGACTGAAACCTCTCATATAATCCATTCCCAGACAAAATTGCTGGTAGTAAAAGGGCAACCACTCGCTGCAGTCTTTCCCTTCCTCACATCCCAAAAAAAGAGAGCTAGGCCAGTTATAACCAGGTAGAACAGAAACCCGTAATGTAAGATAGGGAAAGCTCTCACCATTTCTCCTAACAAAGAACATCTGCAAATTTTAGCAGATCAAGAGACTTGCAGAAAGCAGAGAGTCATTAACCATGTTAGCTATAAATGCAGCAAAGCACTGAAAGACTGTCCATGAACAGCCATATGGGCCAAGAGTCAAAACTAGGAGTAATGGAGCATGATTGCTTTCCCAACTGTGTGATCTCAGCAAGAAGCAAATACAAATGTATAACACTTGCAGATACAGGCTCTGGTAGCATAATTACCAGCCGTAGCGCTGAACAGTCGCAGCTGATTAGAAATTCACTCTGTACTTGCTGAATTCCTCACAGGAGGCAGCTGAAAGATTGTGCACAAGGAGTGATTTGTGGTTCAAAATGTGATCAATAGCACAAAATAAGGCTTCAGGTCTGTTTTTCCTCATTAATAACAGGACAAGAAAAAGTAGACCTGGCTGGATCAAAAGCAATGTGCTAAGACTCTACATCAGCTCGGTGCTTCAGGAGACTAATTTCTGGACTAAACAGTCTTTGAAATGATTTCACATCACGAGCTGTTGTCCCCACCTTAGTCAAGTCCTGTGATTACCAAGGTAGAAAAAGACAAGCACAGAAAACTGAGGACAAATCAGGAGCTTCACAGACTGATGTGATTTTTAAATGGAAGGAAACAAGAAGAGAAAAAAAACAACACAATTTGTACAAGATGGTGAGATGGATACATTTTATGAGAGTAATAAAATAAAATTTGGTTCTCATTTATTCTAATTGTCTAAGAAGGTCTAGGAGAGGCAAACGTGAGGGATGCAAGACAGATGATAAACTTTTCAATCCTATCACACGCGTTGTCACGTTGCAGACAACACAGGACTAACTTGATTCTGCTTCTAATGCAGGTCATCTTCTATGAGTCTCATTATACTACACTTTTTTAGGTTGGGTGGCCTGAATAGTTTCAGTAGCTCACTGTCACACTTAAACTAGTGTTGAAGCAATAGCCCACTTATGCTAAATATAGTGGAAAAACAGCAAAGAAACAGAAAATAAAAGAAAATACCACCACTCCCAAAGAATCACTGATTTTATACTGACTGCATCTAGACTATAACTTTTAATGATCTGGATCCAGGACTCCATTAGTGTTTAATAAATAATGATGATGATACCCTACCTGCACAATGCATGCGAAGCTTCCATTGATGTCGATGTGAGTTCTCGGTGCAGACTGATGGCAGGATACTCCTGTGACAGAGATGAATTTTCCATTAGAACAAAATGAGGAAGACCTGTCTCAGTCAGCAGAATTCACAGCAACAATAAGCATTCCTCAGGGGCTCAGTGAAAGATGTCCATCCTGGGAGGTTGAAAGCAAATTGGGTGGGAAGCAGCGAGGCATACTTGGACAGTTGCAAAACCAATTTGGGCTGATGTGAAACTTCCCCAACACTAACCCCCCCCCCCCAAAAAAAAAAAAAAAAAAAGCACACACACACAAAAAAAAGGCCACCATGCAATTATATTGATATTTTATTTGTGTCATCTGGAAACCATGACTTCCTTTTTCATCACACCATAGGGGAAATTGCTATTCCTTTTTATATGAAGGCAAAGGATGAATTTAATACTGGGGGAGGTGAGAAAATGTGTATGTGTTCTACTATGTCTTGATAACCAGCTTTTATTCAGAGTAGATAAAGGAAAAATGAAATGCCATTATGGTAAACAATGGAAAGCCATTACCCATACAGAAATTTGGACAATGACCCAAAGCATTCAGTTGAATGTTTTTCTTCAAGGATTTTGTTTAAAATACAGAGACAAGGAGTTGATGTGAAGCCAGTTTTGCATGTGACAGAGAAGCAGCTAAGCACAACAGGGGCACAGAGAGAAACCACTTAGTCTGTTTCATAAAAAAAAAAAAAAAAGAAAGGAAAGCTTTTGGCAAGGGGTTGACTGAAATTACCTGAATCTGTAAGCCAAACAAAAGTTTCCTGGCTATTTAGCATTGGTTTTCTTGTGGAAAAGGAATGTATTCTCTCTAAATAATGAACAAATTAAAGAACCTGATTTTGTTATCAGTTTCTTCTCGTGGAAGATTACATATTTTGTTTGGCCATTTGGGTCAAGAGACACAACGCCTTCTACCATTTCCAAGGTGATCACTGAAGAAGAAAGGTAGAAGGGAAAAGATAAGAAAACACAAGCAATTACATTACATTTTTGATAGATATTTAATAACAATTGACATTTGCTAAATGAACAAGTACATTTTCAGGACCAAAATGCAACTCTTGTCTTTATGTTATATTAATAATCTCAAAAAAAAAAGTCTTAGAATAGGTGAAGAAAACCAGCATCTAAGTGAAAAATCAAAGGCAAAAATAGTTTTAAGTAAGAGGGATAGCAAATTTCACCTATCAATGGAGTAAATGAAATACACCAGAAAATATCTTTTTTTTTTTCTACATTAAATTTTTATATACAGGTAATGCATGATATATGGATAAGGATTATTAGGTGTTCCCATTATTTTATAATAACTATTTTTGGATGCACAGAGCTGAGGTATACACACCAAGTGTGCATTTTTAAAACGCAAGACTGACAATTCATGTCTCTACAGTAGTGCAAATTAGACACAGAAAATGCAGAGTGACTTTTCAGAATTTTGGCTTGGCTTTCTAACAGTGCCACTAGAAAGGTGTACTTTTTATTCAGTAACATTGACAGCTTTTATTGCTCTAAAAAGTGATCCCAACAGTTTCTTTTACTTTCATTATGGCTTTTATATGGCCTAGTGCAAAGAATGTAAATATTGTTTGAGATACTTATGGTGCAAATGGAAATGTGAAAATATTTATTACTGAAACATAAGTACAATCTGTATTGCTTAATTATGATAATACAGGGAAATTATTCTTCCATGATGCCATATAAAGTAGCAAGACAACAAATAGCTAGCTGTTCTTTTATGTTGCTTGCTTGAAATAGGTTCAGGTAAGATGTTTGTAAACTTGTATTTCATGTTGAATGTCTTTTTTAAGCCATAAGTTGAAAAAGTGTAGTCCCGTATTTACAATCACTACTGCTTGCAAAGTGCTGGGAGAAGTTAGAGATTTCAGTGAAATATCATTTAAACTAGTATCTGAGCCTATAGGGACTTTTATTTATTTATTTGTAGTTATTTAACCCTTTTTGACTTCAGGGTTGTGAAGCTGTTTTATAGAGTTCAAGCAAGTTTTGAACAGAACTAAGTTATTTCTAGTCCTCCTGGCTGTGAAGTTATCTTCTTAATATAAATAATTGCTGCAACTAAGTTTATGGAGCATGTAACCCTTCAGGCTGTGGAACTCATTATGTTTTCTGTAAATATGTATAGATTAGTCTTGCCTAATGTGAAATTTTGAAATATACGCATTTAATGTCAATTCTTACTTTGGAATAACCAACTGGAGAAAATAAATTATAATGGCTTATAGAATTTGCAAAGTATTTTGTCAAGCTTACATGGCAGAAAGAATTGTCAGCACCAAGGTTTTAAAGTGTTTTCTATGAAACCACCACCACTACCAAAAACACAACAAAAAACAGCACCATTTATTAATAGTAAAAACTATGCAGTGTGGCTTTCCATGCTCATTTTTTCCTTGTCGGATAACTAACAGGAGAGGCAAGCACTGAACTTTCTGGAGGCTGGAACTGGAAAAAGCTAAGAACTTTTTCTCATTGTTGCTCATAGGTGTCCAAATGACTCCTCAGCCCCTACCAGTCCCAGTTTTGGGGACTCAGACTGGAGTTTCTGTCCTCCACCTGGCCATGTACTTTCACGATACTTGGAGGAACCCAATATCTTCAATACCTGTAACACTGAAAATGATTCACAAGTTACTGAGAAGAAGAGGAACGCCACAGGCAGACAACATAGGCTTTATTTCCATAGGAGACCAGTTGAAATCAAGTACTTCAGTCCCAGACAAAACTGTGGTGGTGGTTTCTAAGGCTGAATATGAGCTGCCTAAGGAAAACTGACACCTCCTCTTTCCAGTTTAAACGCTGTGCTGGTGCTGTCTCACAGTCATTTCAAGCTGAGTTGAAACCATGCTGCTCCTGAGAGCCCTTTCTTCCCCCTGCTGCTTTCCCCACATTGGTTCTGCATATGTTTCTTTTGGTGGCTGCTCTCGCTGAGAACTGCACATGCCAATCATCAAACTGCAGAGTGAGAATGAACTGATGATGGCTTCCTGCTCTGCAAGCTATTTTGCTTTGTTTTAAAAATTTGTGAGTTTGCTATAGTTTTAAGACAGCTGTTTTTTGGGACTATATTTTTAACTTCATAAAGAATAAAGATCTTCAGTTTGACACTGAAGGAAGGAAGACAGCTGAGTGAGTTACCTTATCTGTGTTTTCAGAAAGGGCTACAGGCCTAAATTTATCTTCCTCTGAACACAGTGGAAGTGTCCAGAAGACTACTGTATTGAAAGGCCATTGACTTTAATAGAAGCTGGACTGGGCGCTAAATGATTATAGACTCTTCGGACAAAATTCTGATCTCTGTTGCATAGCTATAAATTTGAGAACATCCCCATTTCTTTCAGTAATTTCTCTGGTGGTAGAAGTGAAAGGCTGGAAAAAGATAAGGGAGTCTCTGGTACCCTGTATTTCTCAGAACACTAAAACAACTGGCTGGTCTGGTGATGCTCTTCCTCAGGTCCTCACTCTTCCTTCCCCAGAGTGAGCAAGTAGCCTCAAAGTGAATTTTGATGTATTCTACCCATAATACAGCCTAAATACAGCCCTTCTACTGTTTCTTGGATAACACATTTTGTCTTCTGGTAGGTATTTAGCCATGAGGCAATGTTGTCTGAGGAAGATCATAGGATTTGCTTGTTTTTGCTGTGTGTATGTGTGACTTGGATACAGTTTGTGTTTACAACTCCAGTACTGTACCATCATTATGATTTTACATCAGGACAATCAGTGTGCCTCCATTACTTGAGATGAAACCAATGCTGGTTCAGTGAAGACAAGTACAGAGTTGTGTGACCTTTCCAGTTTTGTTTGTCTAGAAAGTTCATGTCATCCCAAGATGTTTGCTACCTGATTTTGTGTCTGCGTCTGCTGGGCAGAAGAGAAAGATGATTCAGCTTTGCTTATTCTATGCTAAATAAAAGGGTTAGGCTTAGGAAAAAGGCTTTTCTACCACCTTCCACTGTTTTAGTTTTTCAGCCTTTGATTTTGTTTCACTGTCTGTCTTTTCTTACCTGCTCTTTTATCCTGTCATTTCTTCTTGCTCTCCTTCTTTCTGAATTATCTCTCAGTTCTTTCAGTGACAGTTCCCTGGTGTAAAAGGAGGCAGCCATGCGTTGCACTGTAAGGGTCTGTTTGCAGTCCCAGTTTCAGATGTGTGCCAGATGCTGTAAGAAGAAGGCAAAAGGGTGGGGGTGTTGCAGCTGCAGAGTTGCAGGTGGTATTCCCATCTCTCCAGTACCAGGCTGGAGCACGTCCTGACTTTCCCTGGGCTTCACCCTTCTCCCGAGAGATCTGCAAGGGGAGGTCTCTCCTGAAACTGTGAGATAATTGTCATTTCTCTGAAAGGTAACAAACTGTCACTATCTTTTGTTTGAACCACCTGTGTGGACTGCAATGAAACATTTTAAGAGCCAGGGCACAAAACTATAAATACATTTACAATTTCTTTTTCTTCATTTGCATTTAAGAAACATATTTATTACATAAACTCCTTCTAGTTTCTAGTAGCAACTCTACAGCTACATTTTCAGTAGCAGCTCCCCTGCTACATTACTGCAATTATAATAAATTATTGAAGTGTAATCCTAAGTATATACCTAGCCTACTCTTTCAATTTTAATTCCAATTTAAATATTTTATATAGTTTTCCTATAGATTCTTTGTTGATGGCTAGTAATTGCACCATCACAGCAAATACAGTTTTGTTTTGAAAGGTGCTTTTGGAAATTGTACCTGGGTTGTTAATTATTCAAATCAAAGAAACTAGTTAGGATTGTCTGCCTTCAATATGTCAACAGGATAAAAGAGAAACAGTGTTTGTATCAAGGAGGTTATGCTAAGCCCAATCATAAATCTGATAATGTAAAGAGGGAAAAGGTAGATGCATGTCTGAGACGTATTATGAAAATCTGGTCTTAAATGTGGAGGTGAACTATTTTATTGACTGGCTGAACTCTAAACGGGAACAGCGATACAAAAATAATTGGTGTTACCCATGTTTCCAGACTTACCTGCTAACTTGCCCAGTTTTCTGATGAGACCATATTTCTACTTTCCTTTGATATGCTTTGTCTTTTGCAGTAATGTTATGATAACATTAGCAGCTGTTATTATTTGCTAATTATTTAGTGAAGAATGGTGATGGTGATGTGCTAGAAGATTATGTAAATAAAAAAAAATATTTCTGTGGTGATGTGGTGTTTTTTATTTTTAATTATTATTATTATTTTAATATTTATTTTTCATTTGTTCTGCTTTTAGAACCTGTACCTACTGCGTGATGCATTTCATTAGTGTCTATCCAGCACAGGGGGTCAATTTCCATCATTGGCTTGAAATGGGGAAGCAGCAGGTCTCTGCTTGCCTTGTCTCCCCCAACTTATTTTCTTCTACTAGAACTCCAGGTAAGTATAAAATAGAAAAATAATCTATTTTTAAGAGTTGCTTTGTACTGAACTATATAACTAAACATTATATGAAAACAACAGTTAAAACTTATAATGCAAAATCAAATTTCTGTGAAGACATGAAATCTGAAAGTTGTCATGGATTTTTTAGACATGATCTAATGGAGAAAAAGAATAAATTTGTTTAAATTTTGGTATCTATCACAAGTCAGACCCATCTCAATAATATGAGTTTTCTTTTAAATTAGATAATGTTTGTTGTGTACATTAAAGGTGGGCAAATAGCAAGCATAATTATAATATCTGTCTTCATACAAAACTAGGTTCAACATTCATATTTAAATATGAATGGCCATGATTCAGATAATTATCATTATCTGATAACTAAATAGTTGTTTTAATATGTGGTTACTATTTCATAAAGACAACTATTTTTGGTTTAACTCCTTGTTGGTCTCATGACTCTTCATTTTACAAAGCTTTCTTTACAAAATGATAAGGAAATGATAGGACAGTAGGGGAAACAGCTTTGCAATTTGGTGAAACTTCAAAACATTTCTTATTCCACAAGATAAAACCAATACTTCCTAAAGATCTAAGAGGGGATACAGGATTACAGTGCTACAGCAGGGAACCTGGACTGCAAGAGAATCAGACCTTTAGCTTGGGTCTTTTCTAAGGGACTTGGATTTCCATGGCTGTGTTATAACCACTATGCTATTCTCTTTTCTGTCTTCTCTCTCATTTTGATCAGAAATTCTGTCCTGGAGCAAAAAAAAACCTACTCAATGAAAGTTTCATCTGAACTAGTACACTCCTGTGAAAAGTTATAATTTCAATATATTGGCATTTTTGGCAGAGTTGACTAGTGCTACCCATGATTACATCTATACCAGTATAAGTACCGAGTGCAGTAAGTAGCTGAGTAATCACATAGTTGTTAGCTAAGGCTTTATTTTATTATATTTTGATGTATTACTTCTTAATAAATTGGAACTTATATGTGATGTATTGCTTAATAAAACTCATATCTGAAATTCAACACATTTATGGGAAACAGGCTATGGGTAATCCTCAAGCTAAAGCTACTTAAATGTACTGGATCTGCCTTATTTTGCAAAAGGAAACAGTCACTCTCCCCCAACCTCTGTTGTATCAGAGGTGAGTTAGAGAAGAAAAAAGCAATGACTAACTATGACAACAGTGTTATGTCAGTAAGTTTTGTGTCTTTTCCATTAGCATCCTCTCTCTATATATATATATTAATGTTCAGTTCCAAAATTGCATAGTATGTTTCTTGGGAGGATGTTTTTGCTCATTAATCAGAATGTTGACCTGAACAACTGAAAGTGTCCAGTCATTTGTTTATAGACAAATTTACAAAGGAATTACAATGCTTAACTGTGAATGTTAAGTCTCAGCGAGTATGATACATAAAACCCAAGATAAAGTGTTTAATATGACACTAAGAAAAGGCTTTGATGGAATCAAAGGGAAGTCTTTTTACCTCATTTGGGTAGGTGCTTTTGTTGAAATTATAATGGCAGAATCAAACTATATCTTTTGTTCATTAATAGTGTTATTTGCAATAAACCCTTTAATCCTGGAAAATAGCTTTTTGAATTATTTTGACAAGGGATGATATGAAAACTAAGCAGATGCTGCTCTTTCTCTACATGTTATACATATCCCAGTTCAGAGGATGCTCAGGCCAATACTGCAGGAGGCTTTTTGAAAAATAGATGCTCAGAGGCTCAATCTGGCTGCAGTCTTATGCCAAAAGGGAATGTAATATACTCCATTTTTGATTTAACCCTTCTCTTTGTTTTGTTTGTTTGTTTTTTCTCTATAAAGTGTCAGTCTTACACAAGCCAATTACATAGGGAACTCTTGTACCAATACAATCTGCTTAAAGACATACTGCATATTACCTTAAAAAGTATGTGCAATTGGAGTCAACTTTTTGAAATAAAATGCTTTTCCTCTCATTGCACATTGATTTCAGCATTACTGTGATTCTGGTGCAAGTATTATATCTGCAAGAGCTGCATCTTTATATAAAAGTGTGTTGTTTTTGTTTTGCTATGTTTTGTTTTTAGTTCATGAAAGAGATGAAGAAAAAAAAGATCACTATGAAAAGAATAAATGAATGTTTAAGTAGAAATTCATGGATCCTAAAAGTCCTCCTTAATGCAGTGACCTTTGTCTAATAATTTCATATTTGGATAGTTTGTTTTATCTTTTAAGTGCATTGTAACAAATACACCCATACTCTGCAGCCATAAGCATAGTGTGCACGAAGAGCAAAAACTTGTTTCTCACAGCTTTTCCTAAAGTACCATTTGTTTTTTTTTTTATGTCAGATCAAAATAAATAAATAAATAAATAAATCACCCAGCTCTACTAATTCCCTCACAGAAGCTGTCAAACGAAAGTCCTGGCTGCCAACTCTGCTAAAAGTTTCCTGGTGCCCCAGTTGCAACGGGTGATAGTCCTCCACAGGCTTCCAAGTGAAATGTGATCATTTCTTGCCCATCCTTGTGTTCTCAACACCATCCAATTAATGGTGGCCCCCGACCAGCAAAGATCTCCAGCAGTGAATATTATTGCTAACCCAACTGAGCACCTGCTGGTAAGGTCTCCCTGTTTCCCTCTGCACTCTAAATACTCTCATTGTTTATTCATAGAGTCAAAGATTAAAGCCAGAAAGGACCACTGTGATCATCTAACCTCTAATCAGAAACCTTTCCAATTTTGTCAGCCTTCTCATTCACTTGCTGACATTAGCTGTGGATGCAGAATGCAGTTTACAGAGACCCCATTTATCTGTTCATCTACCTCTGTAACAGGTTTTGCAGGACTGGTTTCTGCTCTCCATCGCAGTTGTGAGCTCTGCCTCGGATACCTGTCTCAAGTCTATCTCAGAGGTCCCAGTGTTTAAGACCTGTAGAGATCCTGGGATCTGAAAACTTGATCCCAGCAAGTACTGGTAAATGGGACTGCCTTGATCTAGAAGGCAGCTCTGTGGACACATGCTATGTTATGTCACTTGACCTTGGTGCCAGAGAATGGATTCTTTACCTGTTTAGGGGTAGACATGTAAGTGTTTCTGCCTCCTTAGACTGTGTTGTCTCCAAGAAAGAGGCCTGCTGGTCTTGAATCCCAGGCAGACGTATAGACACTAACTAGAATGGTGAGTCAGACTAAGCTCTGAAAAATGAAAGATCCATTAAACTCTTGTGGTCAGACTTTCCTTCTGAAAGTCTTCTGGTCAGATTTCCTTCTCCCCATCCATGTGTGAGTCTTTCTACTTGATGTTTCTGATCTGCTTTCATTTCCCTACTGGCTGAACAGGAAAGCTAGGTGTGTAACTCCAGTTACCTGAATCATCTTTCTGGTCAAGGTGTCTTTCTACTTGGAATTATTTAATCTCAGCTTTGCCTCTAGCCTTTGTGTTTCTCTGTCCAGCATCCGTAATACAAAGGTATTACAGATGTTTTTACCTCAAATCATAAGAGCATTCAAGTCTGTGATTCATACAGGACCCTGAATAAAAAGTTTCATGATAAATATCACCATCTGGCAAAAGCTCACACTGCTATTATTGACAACGATTTATCAGATACTTATGTTCTTTCTCCTTCCATTTCTTCCTTTCCTTAGTTTTATTCTCAATGTTTTATTCTCAATTGCCAGCACTTCTGGTTTTGTCTTGTGCTTTTACACCAGTTCCAGATGTTTCTCTAGTTTTATTTTCTCTCTTTTTCATGAATGAGAGCTAACTATTGCTACTATGATAAAGCTGTAAGATTCCCCAGTCTTCCTTCCATCTAGCAAAGTGCTGCCTCTCCTTTGAGACCACTCATAGCATGTGAACCACAGCATGACAACTTTGACATTGGTAACTGTGATTAAGTTGAGTTAAATGCTTTGTCCATGAAATTAGTCTTTTCTTCCTTCTGTTTACGGAATATGCTTAAGGATATTGTTGCTTCTTTGATAATTAACAGAGATTTTTCAGACGAGTCACTCAATATTTTTGCGGTTTTGATGAATTACACTCATGAAGAATCCTAGTGTGAAGGAAAATATCTTTTTCTGTGTACTTACACATGTATATTTCAGTGTTTTTTGTTTTTTTTTTTTTTTTTTTTTTTTTTTTTTTTCCAAGTATATTTAAACCAGTAAAATTAAAAAATAGGTGGTTCCTGAAAGTGAATGTGGATAGAACACAGGGTTAGAAAAAATAATTTTTTTTTTTAAACAAAGTAAACTGTACTGTTAATCCATCCTTGGGGGAGTTTAAACTTTTTATTCTGTCTTTAGAATTTAAATATTGTCTTTGGCAGAAGATTTTAAGCCTCAATCAAATGAGCTGGCATTGACTGATTATGATGTGAATGGTGTGTGATATTTACATTTAGAAACTTATGTAGGCCAGAAAGCACTCTACGGATTTAGGAATGCTGATACACCAAAAGGGTGTTTTGAACATAAATATAGTGACATTAGTAAAGCTGTATTTGATTCTGAAGTGGCAAAGCAGTCTTCCTTTAGCAAAATATACCAATAGTCTAGTTTCACTTCTCTATTTAAGGCTAGAGGTCCAGGTGGTACAGCTTCAGGGATGTAACTCTGATTGACACAGCAATGCCATAGAAGTCTGGCCTTAGGAAGTGACACTGATTCTCCGAATCTCCTGGCAGAAGTTTGCCTAGTGATTAGCATACATAACTGAAAGTCAGGTTACCTAGGGCCTTTTTTTCTAGCTAGGTCATTGGCTTGCTGGGTGACCTTTTGAGAGACTTCTCATGTTGTTTTGCCTCTTTACTGTACAATAGAAAAAAAATATCTCAGTAGGAATGTGAAACTTAATTAATTAGTATTTGTAATGCATTTAGTGATTTGTAGAATAAAAGCATTCTAGTAATGAATAATTCCTATCCTTGCCTTATATTGAAATAGTATTATTCTTGCCTTTATAATTAAAGTGGAGATAAAACAAAATACTACGCAGGTGACAGTGGAAAATAGTTTGATTCTTACCCAACAACATATATGCAGCGTGTGCAAGTCCACGGAAGCAATGAGAAACCTTAAGAAGAGAACTGAAAGACGAGGATACTACTTTTCTTCCTCTCATGATTTTCTATTTTAAAATTGTAACATATAGGGATTCTACTTGAATATCCTACCATATCTTATAAAAAAAATATGTTTTAAAGCTAATTGAAGCATATTAACAGTCTATGAAAGTATCAAATATGAGGATTCCCTGTATCAACTGCTCTCTTAGAATATTCAAGCAGAATTTTTATTTCAGCAGCTATATGATAAAAATACATTTTCTCTTTTCCACTGTGTTCCATTGTATAGATATTTTATTTGGTGCCTTTGTAGTTTCACTGATAGTATATAGTTATGTCTATTATGCTTTCAAATATTGCTAAAAACATTGTTTGACTGGGAAGCAGGTGAACATTCTAATGACATCCTATTTGGAAGCTCAAACATCTTTAAATCCTTTCTCACACTCAAACATTTTTTGCTTTTTGTGTTGAGGCATTTGAGGTTTAACCCAAGTTTGTTAATGTCCTGCCACCCTAGAGTCAGAGGCTGAATCCATCTGAGTCTAGGGTTGCTTCTCTCCTTCAGCAAGTCCTAAAGAATGACTTACGTGCAAAAATGTTTTTCCCTGCCGTCATTTATTCTAGTTAGAATGCCATTTATTTTCTCTCTACAGACCTCATCTGGTTTGGTATGTAGTGGAGCTTTTCATCATCAAGAGATAGCAAATAAAGTAAGAAAGATATCTGCCATGGAAAGTATTTGCAGAATTAAACTCTTAAGTTAAGAGTATCATGTACCTTTGATTAGTTGTAAAGAGAAAGTAGCAAAGGCATAAATAAAGAGATTTACTTCATACATCTCGTTTCTGTTTCCTGTAATGATAAATAGAAAAATTAATATATCAGCACTTAAATACTTCTACAAGTCAGAACAAAACACTCGTTCAGACGTTTAGATGTAGAGCTTAGGGATATGGTTTAGTGGGGACTGTTAGTATTAGGTCAGAGGTTGGACTCGATGATCTTGAGGTCCCTTCCAACCTAGAAATTCTGTGTGATTCTATGTGTGATTCTTACATACTCATGAATATACCAGTGAGCAATGTACTGCAGCACAACTGTGCAGAACTTCAGAGGGAGAAAGTAGGATCTTGGAAAAATGTTAGAAAATTCTTTTTACATGAGCTGGAAATCCACAAGCTTTATTCAAAATTTGTGTGGTAAAATATGCAGGTACATGTTCATCTATTTGGCAAAACCCTCTGACTGCCAAGTTGCATCAGTATTTAATTTGAAACTGTCATTATAACACTAGTAAAAGAAGTTTGTAAAGCCAAAGAAGAGACTTGAGTAAATAGACTGCCTTTCTGTCTGTGCTTTTCTAGTCTGAGTTTCCTGTGGTGCATTTATATTCATGTCTATCACATTGTTAATGAGTTTTCTTCTGTAAATTGACCCTGACTGCTACTCAAAAATATATCTTAAATGAAGTGTGGCTTTGAGACCAGGCAGATTATTAAAATATTAAAGTATATACATTGAATCACATAAAGATCTTTCTTGTTGATATTTCAAGACTAAATTATTTTTTTGAAAGATGACCTTTAATGAACAGACTTATGGTCCAAGTTGTCCTCATACAAAGCTCCCTCTGGATCTTTTAGTCATTTACACGTCTGCAAAATGGATTTAAAATAACACCACTTAACCTAGTAGCATTTGACAGTCACTTTACTTAAATATGGATGAGTGTTTAAGGTGCAAAACAGAAGAAAACTGTGTCCATTGTCTTCTCTGTGAAATATGAACCCTAGATGGTAGCAAAAATTAGTTTATTCTGGCTATGACCAGCAAGCTCAATTCTTAGTGGGAAAAATTCATAAAAGCAAAACAGGCTTTTTATAAAATTAGAATAAAATATATGTCTGGCTTAGTGGTTGCATGCTCAGGGAAACACACACAAGTATCACTGGAGATTCTTGCAAAAACATTCATATGCCTGACTCTAATTGGTTAAAATGCCATTATTAGGATTTTATCCTAAGTTCTTATGTTTTTGAGTATTGATCATCTCTCCAGTGCAAAACCTGTAAATTAATACACAAATCTATGTGTACATAAACTCAGTGTCACTTGTATGTATTTCTGTTGGTAAAATAAAATTCTTAATTATTTTTGGATACATACATGCACACATACATACATGCACGCTATTTTTTACCCTCCAAGTTTCAGTAAACTATTCAGCTACTAAGTACCATAGAAGTTGCTTGAGATATTGTGACCAGATGGTTCACAGGGCTAGTAATGGATTATAGTGCTTTCTAGCTCCAGATTGCCAGTTCAAATCTGGGTCAGGTTGACACTGTCTGAAAATTATTACTGTTTGGTGGCTTATGTGAAATGAGTTGGAGACCTCAATATAGTTCCTAAAGGCTGGGTTAATATAACACAAATGTCACCAGATGATTGTCGGTTTCAGGGCTCAGGCGGAAGCACACTGAAGTCAGTGGAAAAACTTCCATTGATTTCAGTGGGTATTGAATTAGGTCTTAATTATGGAGAATGAATCCTTTGTGGTCTTGGAAGTGCTTATTTACAGGAGGTGAAGGACGCCCATGAACTGCTCCTGGGAGATGTGTACTGCTGCCAGCTAGGATAAAATAGACAGAGATGTTTAGCTCTCCTTGTACTTCATTGAGTATGAGTATATCAGAATGGACCAATTCTTGAATAAAACACAGAAATATTCCTGAATTTAGGTAGGAACTGATTTATACTGGCAGAGTGGTTGAGTGCCAAAATCTCTAATTGTTTGCAATAACATTCTCTCTTTCTGGTCAGCAGGTCAGATAAATGGCTCCTAAATTTATCACAAATCGTGTGCTCTCACAGAATATTCATCCTTCTGTTTGAACAGCAGGCCTACTTTGAACTCCATAGATGAGGATGGGGCTTCTGTCTGAGGTGTGTTTTGCCACCATCTTGGCTCCATTAGTGCAGCAATGAATGATAAGTAATTTGATCGTTGAAGATAAGAGTCATCACAGAATAGAAATATTAAAGACTCTTTAGTTTAACTGACTGGAAATTTAAACTGGAAATGTTAAAGTGGGAAATGAGGCACAGTATTATCACCATATTTGATTAACCAGTGGAACAAACCAGTAGCAAAAATGGAGGAATTGCCATTTCTATCTTCGTATCAAATTCAGATACACATCTAGAAGATATGTGTTAATCAGATCTGCCACTGGGCTGTGTCCAATGACACTGTTTGCACTGTTATATTAATGTAGTATTATTGCCAAGGGACCCCAAAAAGGGATAAAACTGAATGGCTTGTCTAGTGAACTGAAAGTATTTACCCCTGCTTTCTCCTGTCTTTCTAGCTTGGTTCCTAGTCCTGCTAAAGACGCATTTGTGTACAACTGGGATCACATATTCTCTGTACTCCATAAGTTAAATTAATTCAAATTTCAAATCTGTTACAAAACTGTAAGAATGTCTTTAAAAAAAAACAGCTCTTGGCTGCATACCTGAGAACTCAATAAAACTTTTTTTTTTTAATCCCTTTTGTTTTTATCATAAAAAAACAATTATGGCTTTATATTAAGTGATGGTGACTTGAGGATTTTACTTTCTATGTACATACTCTAAACAAAGGTGCAAATTTGCTGTTGAATTGCAGTATTTTAGAATCTCTAATTTGTTTATTTGTATACCATTTAGCAGAGAGGAAAATAACTATACTGACCATTTTTGTTGTTGTTGTTGATAACCAGTAATCACTGATACTTTAAAAATGCTCTTCTCTAGTTGAAAAAATAATAAACCAGATTTTGGCACTTGGGCATGAATAGAGACAGAAAGAGACATACATATTTTCAAAGTAGAAAAACTCAGTATGGAAGTTTGAATTATTTTTTTGATCAAGAGCTAGATAGCCTATAAAGAGAGGTTGTAGTTTCACAAGGCAATTCGTAAGCTTCAGGAGAAGACGTGAATGCTCACCAGAAATCTGAAGACCAGCCCAAGAGCTTCACATATGAATGGAAAAAAAAACAGAAGGAAACGAATGAAAGTTTATGATTTTGTCCAGGCCTTCACTCTTGTATACAAAAGTTAGGAGTGTTTAAAAGTCAGAATTTGTTTATTTTTATTATGTCTTATGTGCATAAAGAGCTAAAGTCACCAAACAGAAAAGGCAGCTCTTCATTGGGATGCTGTCAGTCAGGTGAAGTTGTGTGAGAGACTGTTCCAATTTCAGCACCAACATTTGCATAAAGGATGATGTTTCTATTACCAGAAGAAATATCAACCAACAGGTCATCAGCACCTGAGCTGTGACATAAAATTAGATATGGTTTAAAACCTTTTTGCCTTTTTGAATTTATTTGTATTCATTTAACAATTCATTAATGTCGATGATGTTTAATGATAAGATTGTCATTTTTTAAATATTAAACATAAATTTAGATTTAATAAAGACATAATTAAGAATATTTCTGCTGTTTTTGTTACATGTTTATAAACATGGCGTTGCCCATTAAATGTTTAATACGGCTGAAGCTTGTTTAAAAGGAATTTGTAAAGGAAATTCAGATTTACACATTAGCTTAGAGAAGAGTGTGGTTCATATTCCTAAAATATTTCTGTCATGTATTTAATTTCAGATGCACATGTATTACATTTGTGAGCATTTATCTAAAACATTCAATTTGAAAAGATATTTTCTTTGAGAAGCAATTACCTTCTCCTTTAATGATAAAATTTAGAACAGATTTACAGAAAATAATAAAAATCAAACATGATATTGTTTTCTCAAATCCCACAAAAAAACAAACAAACAAACAAAAACCTTTCCTTTTACATTAATTATCTTTTCCATGTTACTTTCCCCCAGTCTCCTTCAACTGTCTCAGTAACTTTTAAGTTCATTTAATTGGCAGCTGTAATGGGGGAGAACACAAAATCTGTATGGAACAATCACAAATCCTGGATACTTCACTCACAGATATACCTTTTTCCATATAACTGTCTCATTTGTCATTGTATGATCAACAGTTGCCAAAGATTTAATTGCTTATTGAGAGACACTGAAAATTCTTGGTGACTACACGGATTGTACTTTTTTTCAGAATTTGCCTGGCACAAAAAGGAACAGAAGAGATTTCATAATATCATCTTCTCAAAGGTGAATCTGTACTGAACAGGAGCTATTTCCATTAGAAAACTATGTAATGTATTATATGGAATGAGAAAAGCACTATAGCTGACTGTTAAGGATAATGTTACACTGTGATATATATATTTGCTTATATAATTAGAAATACAGAATATTTCAAGAATTTACATATTTTTGAAAATGTATTCAGTTAATGAGTTTTGTGTCTGTTCACTGATCCACCTTATCTGGCTTTATGTCTTCTTCAACTGCCAGTGGGATTGTCCATTTATTTTTTATGATGATGTCCGTTGCTTTTTGTGGGATACCTCTGAATATGGAACCATGGTTAAATCTATGTGAAAAAGCCATATATGTGGGTAATTTAAAGCAGGAAGATCATGTGAATTAAAGAATAACCACCACTAGTCACAGGTCTCTAGCTGGACTCTGCGCAGCTGATCACTACCCTAAGACAAATAGAAAGCCAGTGCCTCATTAATATCTCCATGAAGACTGAACAACTTCTGAAAACTACAGTACACCCAGTCAAAGCTTTCTGCTTCAATGTTAGATACCAGCCTATTGTGGAATTTAATTATATTTCAGGAGCAAGGTCAGTATTGTATTTCAAGTGCAAGGTCTTGCACCTGGGTCAGGGAAATCCCAAGCACAAATACAGGCTGGGTGGAGAATGGATTGAGTGCAGACCTGAGGAGAAGGACCTGGGGGTACTGGTTGACAAGAAGCTCAACATGAGTCAGCAATTTGTGCTTGCAGCCCAGAAAGCCAACCATATCCCAGGCTGCATCAAAAACAGCGTGGCCAGCAGGGTGAGGAAGATGATTCTCCTCTACTCTGCTCTCATGAGACCATGCCTGGAGTACTGTGTTCAGCTCTGCTGCCCACAGTACAAGAATGACATGGATGTATAAGATTGAGTACAGTGATGTATGAGTCCAGAGAAGGATGCCAGGCTGGATGGGGCTTTGATCAACCTGGTCTGGTGGAAGGTGTCCCTGCCCATGGCGGGGGGTTGGAACTAGGTGACCTTTAAGGTCCTTTCCAACCCAAACAATTCTATGATTCTATGGAAGTTTTTATTTGAGGTTATATATCAAAATTTTGTGTGAAAAATTGACTGTATGCTTGTTTTGACATTCCAGAACAGATCAGAAATATTCAAAAATTCATGTATTCTAAATTCAGGCAAATACAATGTAATAACAAAATCTTATTTGTTGTGGGGAATTAACCAGCAAGGCATTTAACTTCTAGACACAACAACACTGTTTGATATTAAGTGTATAATTCTGGTTATGGGACCACTCCCAAAATCCTTTTCTTCCCTTTGTCTCATGTACTGGGTACTCCAAATCCAAAAGAGATTCTCCAGTGATATTAGGTTATTGCATGTGATTTGGAAAACAGTCTCAGAACCTGCAGAATTCAAGGTGACTGTATAAGCCTGAAAGCATTGTGAAAGGGAGAAACAGTTATGCTTTTGAAGATCTGTCACAGAACTGAAACATCTCACTCCACACATGCATATACTTCACACCGTAGGTTGTGTTTCAAGTTGGTCATTTTTTCCAGATGGTTTAACAACCCCCAGGATGTTACTAATTCCACCGTAGCACTCAGAGAATTGGGGTGAGATTTAATATTCCTTCTTGCTCATTTAAAACCGGTGCCCTGCTATTTCCTAGATTTGGTTGCATTTTTTTCTTCCTTAACCCTAACAATCCCTTATTGTTATGTTAGGACTTGAAACACAGTAGTTAAATGACCTGCTTTGCAGCAGATCCACTGGGTTATTTTAGGCATTTTGTTTTTCTCAGTACTGCAGTTGCATCTCGGTAAAACAAGGATTGAAAAACTGATCTTACCCATGCAGGGGTGCATAAAGTCTTACAGATGCTCACATCCTGGGATGACAGGAGAGAAAATAGGATTGGTCTTGGAATTGTCAATAAAAGAGAAAGTGGTTATAGTTTTAATATGTCGTCTCCAATCTACCTAACTTCAGCAACCTTATTTAGATACCCAAGCTAGGAACTAGCACCCCTAGATGTAGCCAATGGAGAAGAAATCTGTCTCCAAGGGGTAGTTCAAAACACAACCTGAATGAAGCTCACGCCCTGAATTGCCAGCAGAAGTTGTTATTTATACATAAAGACTGTTAAAACCACCTCCTAAATTGTGAACACTTTGCATTATGTATCTCAGTCAGGGTATATAAAGGCTACAAGTTAGTCACCCAAATGTTTTCCTACAGTGTGGCTACTACATCAGTCTTCCCTTTTCCCCAGTGACTGCCTTATATTTGGTACTTACGAGACTTGTACGACTGCAAAAAACAGTTCAACCTACATAGTTTTCATTTTGATAAGTCAATACATCTTACATTGCAATATAAATATTAGGAAAACCCAAGAAACTGGATAAAATGTTTTTAACACAGGAGCATTTGGGGGCTCTCTGAGTTCTATTATATATTTTCAAAAGCATGGTATATAAATTTCTTGCACTCGTTCAGTGCTTTCAGGAGGCTCTTGCTGATACATGAGGGATTTCTGTGCATAGCTAACATGAACACTGAAGGAAGAATAGAGCCCTTTAGTTCTCTCCTGTCTATGTAAATCTTCAGATGTTCTGAGCTGTCTTTTGATACTCTTCAGAAGCATAGCTGGAGCCTGGTTGAGAATTTAAGTGTGATAATCCCATGTTGCTAGTAATATTATAAGTAATATTAAATGTCAGAAGATAACAAAAGACTTTTTTTTTTCCTTTTCCAGGCAAAGAAATAGAGATATTCAAATTATTCCAAGCAGAAGCATATTTCATACTTCACAAATTGTGGTAGAAATCTGACTAACATCAGTGTTTTTTTTTTTATTTTTATTTTTTATTTTTATTTTAAATGCAGTCAGACTTAGGTGATTTCTACTTACTCTATACATATGCCTGGGCAACGATAAGAAATAAGTGCTAACCAATCTTATAACATGTCCCCTGACAGAAAATATTATAGGTCACAAAATCCAAAGCTACTGACCACCCACTGTGTTGCATTTATTATTAGGAAAGCTCTAAGGAAAGCTACCTCTCTCACCAAGACTTTGCACAGAGACCCAGTAGTAGCTGTCACTCTCTGAGAAGTCAATTTGTATTGTAATTACAGAAAATACAAATAACAACTTCCGGGCTACCAAATAATGGTCTATTTAGAGTACTTTTTAAACTTTTTTTCTCTACACCAAGTTTGTGCAAAACTCTGTTATGTGACAAAATGTGCAATGTGGGGCTTTTATTTATTTATTCATTATTATTATTATTAGTTTTTAATGAATGCAGTCTTATTTGTGCAGGTAGTGGGTGAGAAGTTTGGAATTAGAGTTAATGCCAGCCAAGTAGGTATCAGCAAGGAGGCTGAGCAATGATGGCTGGAGTTATGGCTATGCTGAGCTTTGCACTTCTGGAAGGCATTCAAACTCCTCCTGAATTAAAAGTCTAGTAGATGTAGTCAGAGAATAGACAAGGAACTGGGTAAGAGATGAAGCTGATGAAATAAAGATCAGACATTATTTATGTTGTGTCTAGAACTGAGTTCTCAGTTCAGTGTTTTCTTATTTTCTGGTCTACTTTGATATGTAATAAAACCCACGTCTTTTCAGAATGTTGCTAAAAGCATCCTGGCATAGCTTCCTGGTGGATGTTTTTTCAAGGCTCTGTAAGCCTTCAGTTTGAATACAAATACTGAAGGCCTGACAAGCACTAAAATCTGAAGTAGAATGAAGCACCCCTCTTCTACTGAAAAGCTCACTGACCAGAAAATCATTTCAGGATGACCAAAATTCTGTTGGGTTTGGCCAAACATTTTGGATAAACCAAACAGCAAAAGAGGAAAACTTTTTTTCAGAACAATCTGCTTAATTTCAGGTTCTTCAAAAGGAAACATCTTAGTATTGCCAAGTGACAGATTTGAAAAATGTCCTTTGAAACAGATTTTTGGAAAATGTTTTGTGAAACCTCACACAAAACAAAATGTTGTGGCTGACCCACAGTGATTCTTCCCCCCCCTCCCTGCCTTGGTCCTGAACAAACTGACAATGTTTATTTCAAATTAACCTGATTTTACATTTTGCAACTTTTTAGTTTTGAATAATGATAAATCAACTTAGATATATGTAGCTCTGCACTTAGTTGTAACGTTTTCTCACCATTTTATAATGGTTTTCCTTTTTCAGTGATAACCCTT